AAAAAAAAAAAAAATTAAAACGAATCATAGGATTCAAAAAAAAAAAAAAAAACGATCATGGATTACAAAAAAATCTATCATCGATTACAAAAATACAACAACAAAAAAAAAAAAAAAAAAAAAAACTCGCCTATTCACTGTACCGACTTGCCGATTCCGTACAGTGAATCGGCGAGTCACTGTACAGAATCGTCCGGTTCTCTATAGAACCGACGATTCCCGTTTTTTCGTCGATTCGATTCGTCCATGGCGATTCCCGAGTCGACGTTTTTTTAAACACTGGGTTTTACTATATTTTTACTATATTTTGGGTCAAGGCATGCCAAATTATTTGCATTGGGCTGTGGAGATTGCACGTGTTCTTTATTTTCAAAATCTAGGACATCGATTGCACGTGTTCTTTATTTTCAAAATCTAGGACATCGCCTTGTCCCTTGCCCGAGGAAAAAGACGATGTATCTAAGACGTTGCAAATATAGAAAATGTTTCAAAATAATTAAAATGTCACCTCAACTCGCCCAAAATTACAGTTTTGGCATTTGAAGGTTCAATCATCTTGGTCTTGACTCTTGACCCTCATGGCTGTACAAAAAAATTAGGAATTTAAGCTCTAAAAATAGTGTATAGTGTAACGCATTATTTAGACAATCAATTTCATTCTAAAAGGAAGCATTCATGTACAAATCTGTACCAGTTTTTGAGCTTTAAATTTTACATTCAGTATTGAAAATTGATTTTAAAACCCTCGTGGAGATTTCGAATACCCAAAGAGCTTTTCAGACAAAAATTCAAGGTTATGCTTCCTTTTGTTTATATTACATTATTAAGCAAGAGTTAAGGGGTAGACACATGTCATGAGAATAAAGACCTTAATCCTATAGAGAGTGGGATTTAGAGCTGATTTGTAATGGATCTGGGGCTTGGTTTTTGAGATCCTTTGGGGTTGGTTTGAAGGAACTGGAAGGAGGTTCAATTAGAAGTTGCAGGGAGAGGTGGAGCTATAAAATAAGGCAGAATAGGGCAGCAGAGAGAGAGGTAAGGGAGGCCAACGTCCCTGATTTGAGGGGAAAGAGAGAGACGCTGGCCTTGGGTAGAAGGGGTTGAGAGAGATAGAGGTACAGTAGATCTGAAAACAGAGTCATGGCCGCCATTGTGACCTCCACAAGTTGAGAGAAAGACGTGGTTTCAATGGGCTATCATGGTGTTCCTGGGGGCAATCTTTGCTACAAGGAGGAGATGAGGTATTGAGGAAAGCAATGTGTACAAAGTTGGGAGGTGGAGTTCCTTTGTTGAGATATGACCAGAGCAAGTGAAGTTATGAAACAAGGGCTGAATCGCAACTATGGTTTCTTAGCTACCGATTCATCAAAAATGGTACTATGATTTTTCTTTCTCAATATTACGGGTTCCATATCTTTCTCAATAGTCGGGATTTTCATATCGGCACTAGTCTTGCTGTTTTTAATGGTATAGAGTTTCTATGTGAATAGTATGGTTGCTCTGGGTGTTTTCTTCACTATTATTATATTGTTTGTAGTGTAATCTGTTGGGTTTATGTGGCCTTTAGAGTCTTTATGAGCGTGTAATGAAAAATATTTACTATAGTGGAACATAAATTCAGTGGGAGTGTGGTCCTTCGAAGACCATACTAAGCAAATGATATTTGCGGATAACGGATTGTACTTGACGATTTAGGTCAGTCGATTGGAAAACCCAAGGTACCTGGGCATAAAAAATAAATCGAGAAGGGTTTTTGGGTTAGCCCTTGATGAGGTCAGAGCTTATGCCTAGATGAGTGAGCTGAGGGACTGTATGACCCTTGTGTGTGATGGTAGGCCAACAGAGACGGGGCCAAAACATCATCCATGTTCCATCACACGGTATACATATAAATAGATCGTTCGGAAAAGCTTGATATCCACCTTTGGGTGAAGCATATGCATGTATTAGAGATACCCCTATGCGCCATAG